AGCCCCCCGGCCGCCCCCACCACCGCCAGCTGCGGGGACGGCGACAGGCTTTCACCCGCCACAAGCACCTCAGGGGGCTGCAGCTGAACGTTGGACACCTCTGCGGCCTGGAGGTGGACATCTGTCACCTCCGTAGGCTTGAGTTGGATGTTGGGCACCTCTGTGGTCTTGAGTTGGGTATTGGGTACCCCCATCGTCTTGAGTTGGATGTTGGGTACCTCCACAGACTTGAGCTGGATGTTGGGTACCTCCACGGTCTTGAGTTGGACATCAGGCACCTCTGCGGGCTTGAGGTGGATGTTGGGCACCTCCTCCACAGTCTTGAGTTGGATGTCGGGCACCTCCATGGTCTTGAGTTGTGTGCTGGGCATGTCCTCTGTGGTCTCGAGTTGGGCATTAGGCACCTCCGTTGTCTTGAGATGCATGTTAGGTACCTCTGTGGGCTTGAGTTGGACGCTGGGCACCTCCGTGACTTGGAGATGGACACTGGGCACCTCACTGGTTTGGTGACAGGTGGTGGGCACCTCAGTGGCCTGGAGATGGATATTTGTCAACTCCATTGTCTTCAGCTGGATGTTGGGCACCTCCGTGATCTTGAGATGGATGTTGGGCACCTCCATCATTTGGTGATGGACACCAGACACCTCGGTGTCTTGGAGATGGACACTGGTCATCTCTGTGGTCTGGAGATGGATGCTGGGCACCTCTGTGACTTGGAGATGGACACTGGGCACCTCAGTGGTTTGGTGACACACACTGGGCACCTCAGTGGTCTGGAGATGGACACTGGGCACCTTTGTGGCCTGGAGATGGACCTTTGTCACCTCTGTGGTTTGAGGATGGATGCTGGGCACCTCAGTGGCTTGCAGGTGGACAGTGGTCACCTCTGTGTCCTGGAGATGGACACTGGGCACCTCTGCGGCCTGGAGTTGGACACTGGGCACCTCCATGGTTTGGTGATGGACATTGGTCACCTCGGTGGCCTGCAGTATAACATTGGTCACCTTTGTGGTCTGGAGATGGATGTTGGGCACCTCTGTGGCTTGGAGATGGATGTTGGGCACCTCAGTGGTTTCGAGATGCACATCAGGTACCTCAGTGGTTTCGAGATGGACACTGGGCACCTCTGTGGTCTGCAGCTGGATGTTGGGCACCTCCATGGCCTGGAGCTGGACATCGGGCACCTCTGTGGCCTGGAGCTGGATGCTGGGCACCTCTGTGGCCTGGAGATGGATGTCGGGCACCTCTGTGGCCTTGAGATGGACGCTGGGGGCCTCTGTGGTTTGGAGATGGACGTTGGACACTTCTGTGGCTTGGAGATGGATGTCAGGTACCTTGGCGGTTTGGAGATGCCCATTTGTGACCTCTGTAGTCTGCAGCGGGACATTGGGTACTTCCGTGGCCTGGAGGTGGATGCTCGGCACCTCCGTGGCCTGGAGATGGATGCTGGGCACCTCTGAGGGCTGCGGCAGGGCTTGCAGCTGGATGTTGGTGATCTCAGAGGGCTGTGGCAGGGCTTGCAGCTGGACATTTGTCACCTCCGTGGCCTGCAGCTGGATGCTGGTGACGTCTGAGGGTTGTGGCAGGGCTTGGAGCTGGATGTTGGTCATCTTGGAGGACTGTGGCAGGGCTTGGAGCTGGACATTTGTCACCTCGGTGGCCTGCAGCTGGATGCTGGTGACCTCAGAGGGTTGCGGCAGGGCTCGGAGCTGGATGTTGGTGACATCCAAGGGTTGTGGCAGGGCTTGGAGTTGGATGTTGGTGACGTCTGAGGGTTGTGGCAGAGCATGGAGCTGGATGTTGGCCACCTTGGAGGGCTGTGGCAGGGCTTGCAGCTGGACATTTGCCACCTCACTGGCTTGGAGCTGGATGTTGGTGACATCCAGGGGCTGTGGCAAGGCCTGCAGCTGGACATTCGTCACCTCAGCAGCTTGGAGCTGGATGTTGGTGACGTCCAAGGGCTGTGGCAGGGCTTGGAGCTGGACATTTGCCACCTCACTGGCTTGGAGCTGGATGTTGGTCACCTTGGAGGGTTGTGGCAGGGCTTGGAGCTGGACATTCGTCACCTCGGCAGCTTGGAGCTGGACGTTGGTGACATCCAAGGGCTGCGGCAGGGCTTGGAGCTGGACACTGGTCACCTCCGTCGCTTGGAGCTGGACGTTTGTCACCTCAGCAGCTTGGAGCTGGATATTGGTGACCTCCAAGGGTTGCGGCAGGGCTTGGAGCTGCACGTTGGCCACCTCGGCTGCCTGCAGCTGGACGCCAGCGACCTCAGGGGGCTGCGGCCCCCTTGGGGGGAGGACGCCGCTGATGCCACCCCTCAGGACAATGACGCTGGCTCCCGCCGGGG